TTGATTAATGTCTGTGTTCTGGTTCCAATTGTGAGAGTCTGACATAAATCAAAAACACATATATAAGGAGAAGTACATACTAAGATAAAGCTGATAATTCTCTTGATATAATTAGGGATAGGTCCTAAGGAGCTTAAATAATTAGATGATATTTGGTATGCACTGTCCATTGCAGATATTGATCATGGTATAAGCAGAATCGAGCAGAACCAATCATGGTTTCTTTTATTTCTACAGCTTCCCAGTCAGACTCACTGCCTCCTCTCTTGTCCATTACTGGTTATATCATCCATGGTGTAATCATAATCTTTTTTAAAAAATAATTTATTATCAATCTGAAACATCATATGAAATTGTACACTATAAAATTAAAATTTTAATGCCATTCAAGGGTTGTTCCTTATAGTTAAGATAAAGTCTCAAAACTGTTCTTATGATCAATCAACAATGATCAATTCACAAAGGAAAACCTAACAGTTCACACTAACTATTTGACGTCTATCATTTTACACTTAAAAAGCAAAATAAAATGACAGAAGAAATAAACAAAAGTTGTTCACAAAATTCACGGTTGATGATGAAATATCAGGAATGATGAAGTGAAGGAAGGATGATGAGGCTGGATAATTGAAAAATAATAAATGTTTTATCTGAGGCAATGCAAACTTTGCATTCCTATTAGTGCTCACTTTTATGAGTGCGTCCTTTATTCTACATGAGTAGTTATCCATGCAGGCCATCAGGTGCTGTCTGAGATTCATTGCTCAGTGGGATGACAACATTCTTATAGCACATTTCTAGTCACCTATCCCCTTTGCTTGGTTCAGCATAATTGCCTCTGAATCCTCTGTGGCTTCAGTCACCATGTAGCTCTATTCATTAAGAAAATAACTTTCTAAGCCTTGGAAATTGTCCATTTCATCTCTCTACTGTTTTTCATTTATTTCCATTAAAATAATAATACTAACTTTATCTTTGTTTAAAAAACTCAAGAAACCCCCCCCAATATAAAAGCCATAGACACAGACCAGATAATCAAAGACCCTATTTCCAATTCCATAAAAATAATAATTTCATTGGGAGCACTAAAATATTTGCAGATTCTTGAACCTCTTTGTATCTTTACCCATTTTGTGTCCATCCTGTCTAGCCTTCACTTAATTTATTTTTTCATGATTAGTCAATGACACTGACTACTAAAACCTTTTCATGAATATTATGAAGTTTTACTATACTCTTCTGTACACTTCAATGTATCTCTATTGCACAATGTCTTGGAGTTAACTGGGGGATATTTGACATGGATTTACATACCCCAATTTGCTTTCTATGAGAAAGTCTCAAAAACATTGCAGTTATCTTCTGCCTTAATTTTTGTGTAATTTGTAGACTTCGTTAATAGTTGTAAATGTCTGCAAGGCTACTTCTTCCTTAGAATCAGTTCAGTCCCCTTAGGTACATAAACTCAATAATCTATGTGTCCCAACACACACACACACATACACACACAGACACGCACACACACACACACACACACACACCTGTGAACATGAGCACTTGCAAAAGTACTGGCAGAAAGATGATTTTAGTAGAAATAATATTAAGAATCCTTGGAGAAAAACACCTACAGTGTTTCTACATATGTTAACGCTATAATATTTTATAAACCAGAATCTTTTTCACAATGCATATCTCCACCAAATGTTTAATGATAATATTTAACAAGCTTTGATTTCTATAGAGAATACCACAAAGAATTTAGTTGCTGTTCTTTGAGTGGCAATATACTATATCTTGCCACTAATAAACATATTACATTAAAAACATTTGGCAGAAAATGGTCCCACAATAATAATAATTTTCACTCATAGCTCAAAGCTAATAGTGCAAAACGCTTGACAATGTGCTCTTTAATTTCTGTTCGTTTTCATAAGATATTTAGTTCATCTTAATTCATCCTACAAGGTAGATGAGTATATGACTTTCATTAGAATAATAAAAATAAATGAAATGTTTAATGTGAAATAGAATATGCAGTATTTTATACCTGTGTAGAGTAATTGAAGAGCAGTTGGGAAGTTAGGAAACAGTATAAGGAATGCCTACATGTTTTCTACATGCTAGAATCACATGAGATTGGGTCACAAAGGGTTTTTCAGATAAAATATAATGTCAGTAATCAATCAAGTCTACAATAAGTCTCGATAGTCATATTTCTAGGAACTATTAAAGATGAGTACAAGTGGAAAATTGTTTTAAGGTAAAGATACTTAAACTGGGATATTCTTTCTTCTCATCTTAGGTTCAATAAACTGTTTTGTAAAATTTTTATTCCAAGGAATCAATTTTCATTCATCACAGTTTTCATAAGACCTTCTGATCTTCTTAGCCTGTACAGCATCTGTCATAATTTACCATTTCACATGGTATATTTACGATGTCTATCATTTCTCTTTGTTTTGTATTAGACAAGTGAAAATTCTATCAACGTCCGTCTCACACACACATAAATGCATACACAACACACACACACAGAGAGAGAGAGAGAGAGAGAGAGAGAGAGAGAGAGAGAGGGAGGGAGAGAGAGAGAGACTCAGAAATACACATAGTTTGACTAAACCCAAAGTCAAGGTGGAGCATAAGAGGAATGTGAATGAATGGGGCTTAATGTTAAGTCAGTCCTGTTGTAATAGGAGCAGCAGGGCTGAGTCCCCAGCACCCCGGCTGCCTGCTAGCTTATGCCCCGAAATAATTCCATGGACACTGTATTCTTTTAAACACTGCTTAGCCCATTATATCTAGCCTCTTCTAGGCTAACTCTCGCACCTGGACTAGCCCATTTCTAATAATGTGTAGCACCGAGGTGTGCTTACAGGGAAGATTCTAGCTTATGTCCATCCTGGGTGGGAGCTTCATCACATGTATCTTCCCGGGAGCAGGGAGCTTGGCATCTCTGAGCTCACTTCCTCTCCCTCCCAGAATTCTGTTCTGTTTACTCCTCCCACCTATGTTTTAACCTATCAGGGCCAAGCAGTTTATTTTTTGCTTAACCAATGAAATCAACAGATTGATATATGACACTCCCACATCACAGTCCCTTGTGCTAAGATGCTGTACTATTTTAGATGCATGTTTCCATGGATATTTTTATTTTTAACCTTCATTGACTCAGATGTCTACACCTCTCAAGTTTGTGATGCTGCTCCATTCCTTCCCTTTTGTCACTGATAGTTTAGGATTGTCCAGTTATATAACCAGTTACCGTTCTTTTCTTCCCTTCTTCCTAAATACCTTGCTCCTTTGTTTTTGCTTTCATTTCATTTGCTAACTTCCAGTGATGTTTCTATATAAGACAACATATCTTTTTGCCTCGTTCTTTATAGAATGCCTATGAAACCAGAACTTTATCAAACCAAATGTATCCTAAAATCCCATCTAATATTCTACCAAAGTATTATTAATCTACCTCAGAAGTAATGTATAAAATTATACATTCACACACATTTCTAAGTAAGATTTTAAAACTTATACTTCACAAAAGGAAGTCTTTTGTTTCTAATGTGATGCTCTTTCTTTGTCACAAAGATATTTATTTAATCACACACACAAACTCCATTTATAGTGTTAGCAACATTCTACATGTACACACGGGTCTATGACATTTGTCAAAAGTATAAACTTATGAGGATATAGATAAAATTTTAATGTTGTTCTCCTGGGCAGAATGATATTATGAAAATTAATCACAGGGGAAAAATCATGACTATAAGAATATTTAAATTTTAACTTATAACATTTTAAAATGTATTTCAAAATTATTTTAAGCCACTGCTCCATTTTACCTGACTAGCTTTCAAGATGAAATGTATGAATGTAAAAGAAAGATAATCAAAAATTATCTTTCCATGAAACACCAGAGTTTCTGTTGAACCAAGTAACGTATTTGTGTACACTATTAAGTAATATTAAAGTGTTAAGACTTTACAGGACAAAATATTTGAAGATAAGGAGATAATTTTATTTTATATAACAAACAAAATTGTAGCTGCACAGCACAGCACATCAGCAAGATATATCACTCATTGTTGTGATCAGACTATGGGAACTACACTGCTAATGGAATGGATACAGTCACATGACCTACACTGGCCATGGGATGGATGTAGTCACATGCACTACACCAGATATGGGTTGGATACAGCACATGAACTCCATCATGTGAGGGAGGAGTTAAGTCACATGGTCTGTCAGTTAAGAGGTCAGGGAACCCTGATTGCTCTTCGAGCATATGAGGGAGGGGGACTTGATCGGGGGAGGGGGAGGGAAATGGGAAGCGGTTGTGGGGACGAGGCAGAAATCCTTAATAAATAAATAAATTAAAAAAAAGAGATGTTTGTGAACTTGTAGTCCTTGTTATTTCATTGAGAAGCAATGTCCTAATAGAGTCACTTCCTTGCCACTACATTTTGTATAATTTATGCCTGCTTTTACATCTAGATTTCCTGATGTTTACTATTCTAACTCCAGTACAGTCGTCTAGTCGTCTATTCTTTGCTTCTGGTGTGATAAATACTTGATTTTACTTTAAAACTCTAATTAAAATGTAATCACATAATTTCCCTCTTGCCCTCCTTCCCTTTCTTTCCCTCTTTTGTCTTCCTCCCTCCAATTGCATCCATGTACCTTCTCTGTCCAGCTCCTCCCAAGCCTCCTTTTACTCCCTCTCAAATTTATGACAGCTAAAACTTTGATTAATATTGCTTGACATATAAATGCATATATGTGTGTATATGTTCAGAGAGACAGACACACACACACACACACACACACACACAGAGAGAGAGAGAGAGAGAGAGAGAGAGAGAGAGAGAGAGACAGAGAGCCTGATGCATATATTTTTTTTATTTGACAGTTGGTATTTTATTCAGATAGCAGTCTCATTACATGTGGTCCAAGAATATCGAAAGAACTCAAATAAAATCAGATGTGAAGGTTAGTCTTCACACATCATAGCCAATGATGCCACGTTTGCCTATGATCTCTCCGACATAAAACCACATCCACACCTCGGTGGCCACCAAACCATTCAGCACAGCTTCCTTAACTGTAAGATGTGTGAGGCTACCAGTTTTAGCACTCTGAATAGTTGCAGTGAGTTCAGCAGGGGTTGGGGGAACCAGCTCAACGTTGGGGTATTGCCAAAATGTGGCCAACCGAGGCTTCGAATAAGTCACAGCAGCGGATACTAGCCCCGGGGCCTTCTCCACCAAGTTACGGCTGAACTTGGCCATGGTCTAGGGTGGAAGGTGCGTATATTGTTTTAAGCAGTTTATTTCAGGTCCGACCACTTGGTATTATATTACCAACTACAAGCTCAATTGAGGGGAAGTCTAAGTCTCCCTTTCTCAGCTGATTTTACTTTGTCTATTATTCTTTGTCACAGGGTGGAGAATCTTGAGTTGTACAAATTCTTTTTTCCTCATTAGCATGTCTATAGGTATTGTCATTATTTATTCTTGTTTAAGCAGCCATATTGTTTCAGTATAGCGGGTTCTCCTTTAAGATCCATGTGCTTACTAACCCTGGGTAGTTAAGGAGGTTTTGGGTAATACACACAAATTCGTTCATGTTGCTCAGTAGGCCTTAACTTTTATTAGACAACTGAGGGTTACTTACAAGCTATATATGTAAATAATATAGCTTCACGAGTATCTTGCCATTCTGGTCACTGTTGTGGTTCATAAGCATCATACCTGGATAGGACTGCTCATTGCTTCCCTTCTTTAGTAACTTGTATAGCAAATTTCAGTACTATAAAAACTAATCTTGGAGTGGGAAGTATTTAGGTCCGATCCAGCTTAAATTTTCTGAGTCCTGTATCTCATCTGTATGGTGTTTATAACAATAGAGACTTACCTTCTACCTGGGGGAGGCAGCTAAAGAAAATAGCAACAGTCTATATTGTTTTGGGAATCTCTTGACCCCTTCTAATCAAGAACTTTTTTAACTAATTAATCGTTTTCATTTATTTTATATCCCAACCATAGTTTCCCCTCCATTCTCTCCATCTTTTCCCTCCCCCCACTTCACTTATGTCCCATCCCCATTCACTCCTCCTCTGTTTCTGTTCAGAAAGGGGCAGGCCTTCCATGGGAGTCAACATATCACGTTGAGATAGGACTAAGTTCCTCTCTTTGAATTGTCTGGCAAGGCAACACAGTATGAGGAATAGGTTTTCAAAAGTGACTCAAGTGTTAGGGACAGGCCCTGATTCCACTGCTAAGAAACCACAAATAGATCAAGCTACATAACTTTCAAACATATATAGAGCACTTAGGTCAGTCACCTGCCGGCTCAAAAGCTGTCAGCCTAACCAAGAATTTTTTTTTAAAAGAGTTTTCTTATGATGCTAGGGTTTTGTAAGATTGTCTATGGCTCCTGAGTTAAAACATTGTATAAGTAGCATAATATATATGATCATCATCTATATAATTACATACATAATTAATTACATACTATCATTTATATTAGTGCTATTTAATATTATTTGAATAAAAAAATAAAAAAGAAAGAAAAAGACTTAAGAGCTCCTAGGTATGGTGGTTGAGAAAATTTATGGTAGATATATGGAAGAACATAGTCAGAGGCAGGAATATCTGGGAGACTCGAGTGAACAAGACCAGGTTGAAGTTGGCAATATGGATAGAGAAAGAGGGGAAGGGAGATGGGAGAGAGGGGAACCAGGTACAGCAGTCAGAAATTCAAAGATATGAAAGTGATAGGTTATCAAAATACCTGGATTATACAGGAGAAAGGTAACCCAGGGGCCTGGTCTAGAAAGTTTAGGGTAGAGGGCAGGGTATGCCAGGCATCCTCCATAACAGGTAGGGACTGAGAGATGCTGGGAGAACCTGGTGGTCATGTACAATTTAATATGCTAAATAGAATTCTCAGCCATTTATTTAGGATTTGGAATTTGACACTATTAAATTAATGCTGACTTCTTAAAAGATCCACAGAGAAACATCAAGTACTTGAGGCACTCAGAAATAGCGAGATGATTCATCAACTTTGGTTGAATCTTCCCTGGACTTCTTACCTGTAATCTTTAAGAAATAATGAGCACTGGGTGGTGGTGGATAACACCTTTAATCTCAGCACTTGGAAGGCAGAGGCAGGTGGATGTTTGTGAGTTCAAGGCCAGCCTGGTCTTCAAAACAAGTTCCAGGACAGTCAGAAGTGTCACACAGAGACACCCTGTCTCAGGAGAAAAAAAAAGAAATAAAGATAAGCTTAAGAGAGCCCTGAAATATAGTGAAGAGGGAGGATGTTTGTCTAGTGTGCAGGAAATCTGTTTCTGATCCCTGGTGACACAAAAATAATTATTATAATTATCAAAAAACACTAATTTAATGTGGATTCAAATTGTAACTCAGTTTCATCTTCTTTAAATAAACAAGTAATTGGTGTTGCTCACTGGCACTGTAGCCTTATGATTTTATCCCGCTCTGTTTTCTTGTGTAAGCATACATTTTCAGTAAAATAGCAATCATGTGAATTAGCCTCTTCTTTTTTTAGTATATTTTTATTTGTCTGTTTCTCCCTATTGAAAGAACACATTGATGCTTTAGGTTTCTATATTTTAATCTTGAAATTCATTTTGACATGAAATTTGGAGATTGTTAATTTAAGGCTTCAGCCATTTGGGCATTAATGAACTGCACAGCTCCTGAATGCAGAAAACACTCACGGTATTCCAACATCTAAAAATGGTCATATGTGCTTTCAGAAAGTTCAAAACTCTCCAAGCAGCCTCTTTTTTCCTCTGCACAAATTTAGATCAGCATTACCTTCCTTTCAATCAGATTAATCAGCCCAATGACTCTATACATAGGGATATCAGCATTTAGCCATCACATTTCCTAGAATTTAATGGGCTCGATCATATTTATGATTCAATACCAAGGATAAATGATTATTATGTAAGAAATTTCATTTGGTTTCCATAGTAATGGAAATAAGAGAGACTCTATTTATGTTCAGGGCACAGCTTAAAATGGAAGGCATCTAAAAAGCTGTGCCTAGAAGACTAGTAAGAGCTAGTATCCTACTTGAAGTTTTAAATCTGAAATCCCAAGGTCCAAATCAGGAGCAGAAGAAGGGAGAGCACTAGCAAGGAACTCAGGACCGTGAGGGGTGCACCCACACACAGAGACAATGGGGATGTTCTATTGGGAACACACCAAGGCCAGCTGGACTAGATCTGAAAAAGCATGGGATAAAACCGGACTCGCTGAACATAGCGGACAATAAGGAATACTGAGAAGTCAAAAACAATGGCATTGGGTTTTGATCCTAATGCACATACTGGCTTTGTGGGAGCCTAGGCTGTTTGGATACTCACCTTACTAGACCTGGAAGGAGGTGGGAAGTCCTTGGACTTCCCACAGGGCAAGTAAACCTGACTGCTCTTTGGGCTGATGAGGCAGGGGGAGTTGACTGGGGGAGGGGAAGGCAAATGGGAGGCAGTGGTGGGGAGGAGGCAGAAATCTTTAATAAATAAATAAATAAAAATAAATAAAAAATAAAAAACAAAGGTATCATTTACAATAAACTTTTCTCTAAGTGCTAAATAATTTTGATGTTATAATATAATATTCTACTATAATGATAATAATAATGATAACAATAATAATCTACACTGTGTGAGTCTTTCAATATGCCTTCACTCTTTGTAGTCATGTGTGAAAAATAGAAGGATGTAGAACACGATGTCTGATATCAAGAAGGCAAGAATAGACCTTATGTGACATAGACATAATTGCATAGCTTTTTTTACCCACAAAACTATACAACTACGCTCAGTATTCTACAGAATTCTGCAGTGTTTGATGAAATGAAGTATATTTGGGTAGTAGGGAAGAAATGGTTGAAAATGTGACATATCTTACCTCACTGTGAACAGTTAATCAATTGAAGGTGTGTTAAGGGCCATTTACAATTACCTATTTGTCTTGGTAATTTAAGGGAAAAAAACAAAGATATTTCAACAGGATTCTTTTATCTCAGTTAACCATGATTATCCTCACTAATCATATTTAGCCTAGTTACCAGTATTTATCCTGGTTAACTCTGTTTATCCTAGTTAACTCTGTTTATCCTAGTTATCAGTGTTTATTCTAGCTAACCGTGTTTATCCTAGTTAACCCAGAAACATAAAGTATAAAGAGCACAGTAATAGCCAGGGAAGAGACCAGTGAGGAACTAGGAAGGGGTGCAGAGTTTATCACATATGACCATGCTTTAAAACAAGCATCACGTGGCTGTCTAGGTAATCCTTCTTGATTCATTTTGGGCTCAGCAAGTAATACTTAGGTCAGTAGCATGTTAAAACACTTTATAAATGTAGAAGCCTATAGGAAGTATTAACTCAGTCAAGCTGTGGTGGTGCACACCTTTAATTGCAACACTCAGGAGCCAGAGGCAGGTGAGTCCAGCCTTGTCTACAACAGCTAGTTTCAGGACAGCAAGGGACCCTAGATCCTACATAGAGAAACCCTGCCCTGAAAAACAAAACAAACAAACAAAAATATTGACGCCTCACAAAATCTCTCTCCTCCCCCTCTTCATGTGTGTGTTAGGGAGGGTTTAGAGAGGTGTGGATCTGAGTGTATGCATGTACACAGGTGTGATTTTTGTGCACACATGTGTGTATATGTACCTGTAAGTGGTTCATTTTCAATATATTCAGTCAAATCAGATTCATAGTAAACCCATTTTCTTACTAGTAAGGGATGAACAAAGGTTAAAATGTAACCAGAAATAACAAAATATTATTAAAAGTTGGGCATGGTGTATAGACCTGTATTCAAAGTTCATGGAAAGTGGCTACAAGGCGACTTTCAAGGTTTGCCTCTCATAGACATAGCAATTTCATTCAAGGTCAATCTGAGCTACATGAAACCCTGTCTTACATAAAGGAAAAACACCATTAGCAGCTACTAAACATTATTAAAGATTTCAGTTTCAACTTTGTACAGATAAAACAAATAGTTCATGAGATTTATAATATCTTTGTTATGGACACTATACAATATCATTATACAATGACTGAGAATAAGTTAGTATAGTTAGTTAAGGCAGCTGAATTTTGACTGGTATAGATACATCTTTGTTCCTTGCATTTGAGTTGAGAGCAAGTACTACATGTGCCTCCTGTCCTTTTGTGCTAATATTTTGTGGCAGTTAAGTGGCTATCAAAGATAGCTTACCTCTGTTTTACAGTTACATT